AATAAAGTTAAATCTCTGAAAACTAATCCATAGATCTCTCACAAGATTTTTTCTCTTCAGCTTATATGTATACTTGTAATATATGTTCGCACACCCACCCAGTGGTAACACTTTCTTTTCTTTTTAATTTTTTTTATTTTTAACTTTTTTTATATTTAACTTTTTATTATTTTTTTATATTTATTTATTTTTTTTTTATATTTATTTATTTTTTTTTTATATTTATTTATTTTTTTTTTATATTATTATTTATTTTTTGTATATTTATTTTTTTTATATATTTATTTTTTTTATATTTATTTATTTTTTTTTATATTTATTTATTTTTTTTTTTGTATTTATTAATTTTTTATATTATTTATTTTTTTTTATATATATTTATTTTTTTATATATATTTATTTTTTTTTATATATATTTTTTTTTATATTTATTTATTTTTTTTTAATTTTAATTTATTTTTTTTATATTTATTTATTTTTTATATTTATTTATTTTTTTATATTTATTTCTTTTTTATATTTATTTATTTTTTTATATTTATAAATTCTTTTTTATATTTATTTATTTTTTTTAAATTTATTTATTTTTTTTATATTCTTTTTAAATATTGATTTATATTTTTTTTAAAAATTTATTTATATTTTTTATATTTTTGTTTTTATATTTTTTTTTAAAATATTTTTATTTCTTTTTTTTTCTTGTTTTGTTCTTTTTGTTTTATTTTGATTTTTTTTGTCTTAAGTAACTCTTTATTATTTGAATAAATTATTTTAGGTATTGACAGTTAATGAGATTAAAGTTTAATTATTATACTTATCCTTCTATAGATGTCGGTACGTATAAAATTTACTTTATGTTAGTCATCAGATTTAGCAAATTACGATTAGTATTTGTTCTAGTACAAATTTATATTAAGGATTATGGCCATTTGTGAAGAGATCTGAACTATTTATGCTTATGGATGGTTCTATGGGTGTGTGCTTAAGTGCTCAATTGTGCGTGAAGTGCGTAAGCAAGCCCAGCCACTCAGTATGTGTGCCTGAAACCGAAGTATTTCATTATTTATTCAGAAAATTTTAACCATGAGGATTTAATTGAGCATTAAATGCACCTGTGCTCACATTTGACATATTTGTGAATATATACGATTGTCTCTTATGGATAAACAAATATGATGTGCACACATACGACTATTTGTGTGGTAGGAATATTTTTGTCGGTTATATATTCGTCTATTGCATAGATACAAATGTATCTGTACAGTTGAAAGAAAGAGATTGTTGGACGCTTATGCTGCCCTATAATTTCATTATATAATAATAAAAAAAAAAACAATTTTATATTAAAATTGAACAATAACAATTGAGAAGAGATAATTTACTAAAATTATTATTAAAAAATTTCCTTGAAAATCATAAAGAAAATGTTTTATTTCGGTTTTTCTCAGAAGTGCAACTTTAATTTGAAAACGTCTTTTCAAAATAAATTTATTGGAAATTATTATTTAATTTATCTACACAATTATGAGATATTTTATTGATTTGGTTTCATAAAGGCTTTCAAAATTTTCATTCTTTACTCAAATTCGAATTGTTGCTGTTGTTGTTGTTGAGTATCTTAGTGTGTATGTTTGTATCTTTTGGGTGTACAATTTCCATTTTCTGTAGTCAAGTATTTTATGCAAATTTTATTTACTGAAATGGCTCGATTAAATCTGAAAAAGAAAAAAAAAACAAAAAACTGAATTGTTTGTATGTTAAAAGGCAAAGCAATTTGAAAATATTGTGCTTAGAAACTTTGTCATTTCTTCGAGAAAATTATTTTATATTTTGTGGATTTTGCATATTAAATACGAGAATCAAGGTTAGAAAAAATTATAATTTCAAGGCACTCACTCGAATGGCTTTAATTTGCATAAGCTCTTTCATCAGAATTTGTTGAAAAGAAAGAAAACTAATTTGATTTTATAGCTTTTAATTTACTTCTTGTTTTAAGTTTACACATTTTAAATTTAAATAAAATCAATAAAATAAAAATAAATGAATTTGTGAAAATGGTTAGAAAACATGTTATGCACTTATTATCTTAAATAAGTACAAGATATATTTTTAAACGTATGATGATATAAAATGATTGTATATAACATAAACACATCTATTCCTCTTTGATACTTTCTAAAGTTCCTCAATTATTTTTTATACTGGAGTAACATCATGATTGATTCCGTCTCTCCCAATGGAATAAAAAGCCAATATGTTTCAATTACTGGTAAATTTCCATTCTGTGCATAAACTTCAAACCTCCTTGGATTTACTGTCAAGTGGTGGGGGGAAATGCCAAATGATAACTTGGAAATTTGCAATTCAATTGGTTTCGATTTAATATTTATCATTAAAGTATTATTTTTTGGTTAATAGGTTAGTTGTAAATATCTGTAGGCATCCTCATATAGTCCAGCAATAATCACAGCATTATCTTCCTAGTAGTTTTCTTCACAGTTTCTGTTAGACTGCTATGATGCTTTGCTGGGTGTTTATTCACACAGGAATCAATGAGTCTGCGGACAATCTTGTGAGGACAGGATCTGCCATTCAACTCTGTGAACTGGAGCCATATTGTGGATTTAGTTGGTTACAACTAGGTCTTTGATTGACATGTTGACATTTCAGTTAACCGTCAGGCTAAAAAGCTGGTTCGTCGCTACAGTAACGGTAAGGTAACCTTACCGAGACTTTCATTCACATTCTCTGCGACTGTCCAGCCTTGATGTAAGCCAGGAGGAGAAGGTCACCAAGACGAAAATTATTTACCTCTTCTGACACTAGAAGGTCCTCAACGGCGGACATTTTGGCTTTCATTCGAAGGGCGGAATGTCTTCTGTTCGGTTAGAGTCTGTAAAGATCAACTATGGTCGCGATGCTCTACTTCGTTAGAAGCTGAGGAGAAGTTAAAAGTTTAAATCAATTTTTGGAAATCAAGTGTACACATTGAATACGGTTATATATTACAGATGTGCGCTATGTTTTTGCCCAGTCTTGCCTGGTCTGGGCAGTGTAGTGTTGGAATTTGAGCCTATTTTTGGCTTGAATGTTAACTTACTGTAATTAATTCAGCAAATATTGAAGTCTATGATGATTTGGTTATCGGATTGCAATGACTTACACTCTATAAGTTTAGATTTTCTACCAACGATTTGTGTGAAATTATTTGTGACAACAAGGATACTAGTAAGGACAACAAGAATTGCGCTGGCATTTTAAAAAGTTTAATGCAATCAGACACGTTGTTTTGTGTACTCCATCTGAAAGCTCGCGTGGTTACCCCTTTGAGAAAAATCCGAAGGAATAAGAAACCATCGGAGATGCTTCCTATAACATACAGTAGTATGCATATAAATTATTATGCAGTAGTATAAAGTGGTTTGGAGCTATTCAAATAATCTTTATATTTTTTTAACTAAAAGCAAAAATGAAGACAATGCCTTAATATCTCTGCCTTCACTTTATTCGATTTCAATTGAAATTCTCTCTCCTCTTCCACTACACTTATCCACATCTCAACCTATATGTATATGGCTTTGTAATTCCTTTCATGTAATCTACTTGATCGATATCTACGGGCTACAACAACAACAACAACACCACCACCACCACCAACAACTATCTCTTAATCAAATTAATTTAATATCGTCCCCTTTACTTCAACTAAAATTTTTATTGGTATATTATCGAATATATTTTATTTACTGCCGCCCTGATTTTCCAGCCTTAAATTGATTACATTTTAAAGAAAATAAAATTGTTGGAAAATAATAAAAATGTATCTCATTCTGTCACAGAATCTTAAATGTAATTTTTCTGCTAAATTTGCAAATTGAACAAATGTTCAATGTTTTATTTTTATGGAAAACAGATGTTTTTAAATTAATTAAATGTTTTTATTTATTTCTTTAGTATTTAGTCTGGATGAGTATTTGCTTTGATACTAATTTTTTTTCCTTGCTCTTATTACCATTTCAGATTCAGATACTTTGAGAAGAGAAATTCGGATTATTGCTGATGTAAACACTTGAAAAACTGCGACATTATTTCGTTTTGTGCGGAAAAGGAAGTTGACTTCGAGCGGAAACAAAAAGAAGTCAAGATAAAAAAAAAAACGGTATAAAAAGCACAAAGAAAATATAAAACATACACAGCAAGAAGTAAAAAAATAAATGCACAAGAAAAAAAAGAAATTGTCGAAAGAAAAATAATGTTTGACTGAGTTAAGCTGAAAGTGTAAAAGAAAAGCGGAATTGAATTAAAGGGAAACAAAACAAAACAAAAAATAAAACAAAAAAAAATAAAATTTAGAAGCAACATAAAACTCAGCAAAAAAAAAAAAAATACGAAGAAATGTGAATAAATTTCTTCCATACTTTATACGCTTGAATAATTTAATCAAAAATTTTGAAGTGTAAGTGTAAAATGTGCATAAAATAATAAAATTGTGCATAAAATATTTAAAATTAAACTTAAAAACAAAAAGAATATATCTATATATATATATATATAATATATAAAGCAACGAAACGCCTAAAAACATACCTCATAATTCAAGCTATATGTGCACATTCACAACCTGTTAAAACCTAAAAAATTAAAAAAGTAATTGAAATTATAAAAATTACGTGTTTTAAATTATTAAAAGTAAATTAAATAATAATTAGTGAATACCAAAAAAAAAAATTAAATATAAACAAAACAACTAAACAATTAAACGCCTAAAAATATACTACAGAATTTAAAGTTTTTAATAAAAATGTGTGAATTAAAATTGTAAAAGTTTTTACACAAGCTGCAGGCGTTTGAAATACAATATATTTAAATTTATACACTCCGTCTATCTTTCTCTTGGCATAAAAGTGTTGTCTTTTATTCACGTTATTGCTACGCCTAGAAATATGCCTTAAGTAAGGCATATACCACATAAAAAACTTATCTCAGAAACTATTTACAAAATGGCTACTGTGAGCAATGATAATCCTGGTGATTGTCAGTCAGTAGCAGCAGACTCAACTACAGCAACACCATCAAATGTTGGTGCTACGAATGCAGGCAATAACAATAATAATAACAATGCTGTCGTTACCACAATAGATGTAGATGGTGCTGGCATGCATGAGGAAATGTCAGAGCAGGAACAAGTTAGTTCAAGCACTAACAATGCAACTACACCGACAGCAAATAAACATGGAATACCAGGTTCACCACCTAATAGCAATGCTAAAGCAAAAATTCAACAACAGCAACAGCAGCAACAACAACAACACTATCAATTCCGTGCGC